TTTTTCTTTTAGGTTTTTTTTTCCTCTCTCAATGCTTTTACCTGAAAACTCGACCGTTATGGGGATTCAACATCCCAATCTAAATGGCAAGCCACCAGGGCAAATCTCTGATACCCCATCCAGTCTACAAATGCGTAGCAGCTGCTCCACCAAATGTGTACATCCTGCAGTCCTGCGTTGCTAAGGATGTCATTTAAATGCGATTCTCACGTTTGGTCGATGGGTTAGTCGCGTCTGAGCTGCTACTTGAAAGTTTACCACCTTGAAATAAACAAAAATATCAATCTGAGTGGCAAGCCAACAGGTCAAAAAGTTAGTTGCGTATCCTTTACATTCCATTGAAGAACCAGCCCCAGCATTTTTTTTTTTTTTTGGGCTGTTGTAGTTTTTCTAGGCAAATTCACATTCAATAGTTTGCCATTGCTTTATGGACGGTCGGCATCTAGATATCACTATAGATACTAACGTAGGGCGCAGGGTCTGCAGCTGGAATATAACCCGGCACCCCGGCATTACGAAGCGCGGTCGCACCGACTAAGCCATAGACGTCGAAAGAACAACAGAGTGGATTAGAAATCCGCATTTCAACCTGTAAAGATATCTAACCAGATCAAAGGTCGAACCAGCAGCTTTACAATATCACAAACACAAAGGACAAATGAACGTTATAGCTAGAGAGCCTTCATTGCACATTACATAAGTCTACAGTAGTACAGATTCGAACAGTCACACACAATCACTTAACTGGCGTATCTCTGATCTAAATCAAATCTCTGTCTCTCCAGTACAGTATCTCTACGTAAGATATAATTAGGACACTCGTAACGGCTGAACCGGACCTGTCAAACCTGTAGTCCTGTGTAAATAACGACCAAACTCACATGTTTCCCTTTCTGTGTGGGTACAACTCACGTTTGTGTCTGCAAAAGCCTGCTTTTCGCAATCGAGCGAGATTTCTGAGGCTTCCAATTCATGAGCCGTGACCGTTCTCAAAGGCTACTGTATCTTCTAGAGGTGTCACGGTGCCTTCTGTTTAATCGTTCCGTGTTCTACGTCGTGAACGGGCGACAAACAGAGCACTGTCACTTTTCGGCAGCAGCTCGGCATCTGTAAAGCTCACGACTGCCACTGCTGCGCTACCCTCCCTCCCCTAACCCTCCCGTGCCCCTGTATGTTCGTTTTATAGTTGTCTAGATTTCCTATTTTTTTTTTTTTTTAATGAACAGCATTGGGTTTTGAGTCTTATGGAAGAGAAAACTAGAACTAATCAATATCTTAGCCACAATAACGTATGCAGCTATAAACCTAACCCCAACCCCCTTGCCTCCTGACAAAATTCCAACAGTTCTCTAAACAGAGGCGCTCACAGAAGACTAAAGACCAGATCGAGACAAACAACCGGAAGTTTCCACTGGGTTTTCACAGCCGGTAAGTGTGAGGAAGAAGACATCTTTACCTTTAGCACAACATAACACAATCGTCTGGAAAGTCGTAAAGGTGTAAACAATAACTGACTGACTGACTGACTTTCTACTCCACCAGGACATCACACAAGCGATAAACATCCGATGACACAAAGTGCCACCATGTGGATGAGGATCGCCGTGGAGAGGTCCCAGAAACCGCGTTCAGACATTTGGCCATATTTATGGCCTGCCTATATTGCGGCCCCCGGCAAAAGTCAGGGTGGAGCTTCAATTCCTATTCATGTCGAGTACCACCGCTCCAAGCCACTAGCGTCGGTGCAATTGATATTTTTTAACAAAACAGACACAAGGAAGTTGATTTTTGGGGGAGTTTTTTTTTTCTTTTCCATAAATTGATGGATGGATCAGTAAAATGATCTGTTAAAGGTCACTAACTAAGGGACACAACTACCTGTAAAAATAGGAGCCTTATCTATATCAATATTTACAACCCTTGATAACCTATAGTTTGATTTAACACACACACACACACACACACACACACACACACACACAGACACACACCCCCCCCCGCACGCACACACACACACACACACACACACATTAACCCACACACACACACACACTTCAATACACACACACAAAACACACGCACACTGACACACACACACACACACACACAAGGAGCTTGTTTTAAAGTGATATGGATTAATGACCCAAGTCTTATCTTCTGCTAGGGTCGCCATTAGTAGGGCGGTCGGTGCGTTGTGCTGTAATATGCGCTTTACCTTCCAACATATCTGGCTCTTATAAACTCTTACTCGACGTCTGTGGCTTGGGCGTTGCGAACGCGCTTCGTAATGCCGGGGTGCCGGGTTCGATCCCAGCTGCGGGCATTCCGCATTGCGTTGGTTTTGACAGTGGTGTCGGAAAGCCGACCAGCTGGAAAGCATTGGCAAACTACTAGACGTAAACTTGCCTAGAACAACCACAATAGCCTAAAAAATGTCGGGGTTTGTACTGCAACTTCCTGTAAAGGATACGCAATTGGCTAAGTAAACTCCTAATTATTGCTTGTGACACATAATATTCGTCGTTCCCTTGTGGTATGCAATATCCTGTTATTTTCAAGCCCCACCCTAGCTTTTTTGGGTGCCCTTATATTACCACTCTAGGGGGGATCCTCATCCCAATGGTGGCACTGTGTTATCGATGTGCGATGTCCTGGTGGGGTAAAACTTACTTACTGCCTTTGCCACATTCTGATTTAGGGGGAAAAAGGGGGTGGGGAGGAACGAGTGGATCCTTGTTAAGCACTCTTATTTTTTGACTCAATTTTATTATAAATCTAAACATCAGCTGTCGTCGGGAGACCTTATATAACCCAGATTTGAACGGGGTGTATCGGACTTGGGCCCATGTTATTCTCATCCCAATGGCGGCACTTTGCGTCACCGAGTATTTACCGCTCTTTGTGCTGTCCTGGTGGGATTGAACTTCACATACTCACTCAGTCTACCCATACTCATCCTCCTCTCTTACCCCCCAAAAATATCGTGTCACAGAGAACTGGATAGGAACTGGATATAAATACTCCCGTGTTGTACTCTACTTTCTGAAGCAGAAACATCCGTGGGGTTGTTTGTTTTAGTATCCAGAAGCCATGTGTTGTTAACCCTTAGGCTCGGTATTACGGATATCGCAACCTTTCGGCCTTGATTCCATTGTAAATTACCGTAAATCTGGGAGAAAATGTGGCTTTTCTGCCTACCCCTGTGATTGAACCCGGATCACAATGTGTTCGTCACCCGGTCTCCGCGCCATCCGGTTTAGCCAACTACGCTAGAGAGCCGGGCAACATCCTTGAGGTAAAACGGGAGGGGAAGGTTTGCGGAGGGGGGCTTTAGAGTAAAACGACGAAAATGATACTCAGTTGCAAGAAATGATGGATCTAAGTGAAACGGAAAGTGTAAACAAAGGTCTTAGTTTGAACAGCAGAAAAAAACAGAAGTAATTGGTAAGAAAGCTAGCTAACTTTTAATATGGATCGTTAACACTGGAAAAAATACAACTTTCTACCATTGACAACACTAAAAAAGCCCATCGAATTCCCGTATACATTCTGCCAGTTTATTTCTTCTATTCCATCACAATTAATCAAATACAATCATCGCTGTTCACTACCACATATATGCCACAATCATCATTTACTCAATGTTGACTACAATTAATTCGAACTACATTAACGACAGCACGACTTTTCTCTTCGAAACTCCGACTTTCCCTTTCTAACCACAAGCATCTCGTGCGGCGGTTTGTCGCACGGATTTTCGGCTGCACTTGCTGCAAGGCAGGGTCATCACACTCTCCAAAATGCAACATCAAAGCAAATGGGACAAACCTCAAACAAGTTAATATGTTTAAGTATTTGGGTACCCTGACAACATAAGATGGAAGATGTATTAAGAAAGTTAAATGTCGAAAAGCCAAAGTAACGCAGTATTTTAGACTATTTTATGTAATCTTTTTTTAAATAAATATATTTTTTTTATTTTACAAAATAAAGACTATTTACTGTAATTTTTTTTTTGTTTTTTTTTTTTGTTTGTCAATTGAGACAAGAAAGAGAATTTGAAAACCTATATAAATCCTATCTTGATAAATGGAAGTAAATCATAGACAGTTGGTTAAATAGTGAAAACTTTTTTGGAAGTTAAGGAGATGAAGTTTTATAGACACATGATGAGAATACCCTTGACAGAAAAAGAGAGTAATGAAGATGTCGAAAGTAACTGACTCACGAAGATAACAGATTGCCGATATTTGTATTCTTTGGTCATGTGATGAGAAGGAGAAAACAGGAGTACATCATGACAGTAGGAAAGTTGGAGGGGAGGAGAGGCAGAGACAGACCGAGAGACCAGATGCTGGACAGTTTGACATCATGGCATGGAAGATCATCTGTGTCAAAGTTGATTGAAAGTACATAAGACAGAAGGCTGTGTATAGCCATGACTACCAACGCCACACGGTTCCGAAAGTCTGAAAATGAAAAGAAATTTACTCCATGCTAAACTTAAATATTCTGGCAACATTAAAAGACATAATACGCTTTTGGAAACCATATTGGAAGGACAGATCAAAGGGGACAAAAGAGCAAGCAGTAAACAATGATACAAGTGGGAGGATAAATTCAGTAGGTGGACAAACAGCATGCTGGTAGAGAGTACAACCAAGACGAAGGACAGAATGTGTTGGAGATCTATTGCAGCCAAAATGTTCGTAAAAACTGCACCTTATTGATTGATTTCCCATGTTTATGTTAAGTATGCTTAAACAAATAATGTACTTCCCCCCCCCCCCCGCCCCCACACTATTTTTTATTATGTTATCATTGTTAGTATTTTTACTACCCACATAAGCCTTAAGTTCCTTGAGACTGATATGATACATAAAGAGGCTAACAACCCCTTCCCACCCCCCCCCCTCCCCCAATCACCCGGACAACCGCCACCATGTTTTATTTAAGTCGGCGCTTCTGATTACATTCAGTACAATACAATACATGCCAAATTATTTGGGCAATAGGTTTTTACAATAACAATACATCATATTCAACGGTAGCTTCAAACAGTCGGCCTGTCCATGGTAACTGTTTAACCTATCAATGTTGTATCCGACTTGCCAGCCTGTTGTATTGTTTTCCGTGTAGACATTAGCTGCAAACTGTGCATTTCCGGGAGTAACTACCAGTTGTACTTGATATAAAAATGTGTCATGTTTTCCTTTTGAATTATTCGAATTCATTGCTATTTTATGGATGCTAATAATTCGATGAAGCTGGAAAACAGCGCAAATATTTTTATCCGTTTTTGAATTCAATGCTTCGATGACAAGGCTGGTTAATATTTTAGATAAATCTGAAGAAGTGTCTGCTTTACCAAGATCTTCGTAGCCACACAAGCAGAATTCAGCCGGGATTGAGGCATCCTTGCAGGTTCTGTCGAAAGGGATTGTCTTAAAGAGACTGATGCCGTGTCTAAGGGGAGGTAGTGGAGGTGGTGTGTCACCCTTGAAGTAGAGAAGATCTAAGAGAGTGGCGTGTGTATCAAAATGTGATGTCAATCGTTTGGTGTTGATTTTCAAATTCATAGCCACATCCGGGTATTTCTTCAGAAACCAATCTGGAAAAGTCAAAATAGTGTACGGTGTCCTGCTTTCAACATGTCCATTCACAGTATTCCTCAAAGTACCATATCTCACGCCATGATCTGAAAATGACACTAATAAAGATCCGTTCAAGTGACCGTTTAGATTTAACGAACGATAGAAATTCCAGAGATGTTCATCAAACATTCTAGCATCGCTCGGATCGTCGTGTGTCGGTTTGGTAAACAAGAGAACAGAAAAACTTGGCTTGTCGGGAAAAGTTTCCAGAAAACGGTTCACATAATTTAAATGGAAGTTCATTTCTACTTGGTTTCCAGCGCAGCGACTCTCGTTCTGATATAAATCTTTACAAATAAACATAGCTATAGATAAAGGACGAGTATTGTACATAGCAAACGGGTGTATAAAACCACGTTTAAGATAGAAAAAAGTTCCGCGGACCGAGTCCTCTGTAAACAGAGTACGATACCCAGCATTTTCAAAGGTCCGCCAAATGAGATCGAAATTATCCATGTGATATTCATGTGTCCACCAGCTGTTGATTTCTTGCAAAGAAGAGCCTGTAAAGAGTGCTAGAATGTTCGGAAAAGTGTTGTCTCCCACCTGTGAATGCATAGATAGATCAAAGGAATTCAGTGAATTCATTAAGTATGAATACGTTTTGTTACAGCCCCTAATAAACTGATTTCTGAACAACGAATCCATCCCTACCATTATTATGTTTAGTGTTTCTTTCGGAGCCGACATAACTTGACGCTTCTTTAAATTTAGAAATTCCATTTCGTTGTACTGTTCCTTTTTTGGAACTAGGCCATAAAATGCCCTTGATACAACTTTAAAAGTTTTACTGGAGCATACTACTTCCACAAATTCTGCACTTCCGGGAAGTTGTATTTTGTCCCTAAATGGATTTGACCATCGGCTAAATTTCACATTGTAGTTGTCCATTTCGTGGCGAAAGAATAGTTTGTACGTGCAGTGCTCTAGATCTCTAACATCCATGTATTTCATAACCATACTCATGTTTACTGTGAGTGTATTATCTTTTGTAATGTAGGTAAATTCGGGCAGATAAGTTCCCTCACAGCGGATTGTAGTTTTGTTCATTCCTGATAACTGTAACACACTGGGCTCGTACAGGTTTACCTGTGGTAACTTACAGGTAGATGGTAGTTCATCGGTGGAATTAAAGTTGTGTGTGGTAATAACATTATTTGTAAAGTTGATATTTCTAAAGTCGTTATTATTATAGTCCTGCGCTCCTTCTTTCTTGTTCGTCATAATCCAACACGTGACATCATTTGAGATAGGCCAATGACCTGGCAGTATTGCTGTCATCACAATCAGTAAAAGTAATAAGACGGTCAATCGTAGAAATGCCAGAGGTCCTGAAACGAGAAAAATTAAAGAGTAAATCAAACATTTATCTTAAGGTGTCACCGTGTGTGTTTTAGTAGTACAGTTTGGTCTAAAGATACAAATAATACCACCCCCCCCCCAACCCCCCTTTTCCAACAAGAATGTCGTAAAATCCGACTGATAAGGGGGTTTTTAGAACCGGATGCATTGGGCCGAAAGGTGCAAATATTGCAGTATTAACCACAGCAGAGATTGTCAACAGACCTTTAGGGGGCGAAGAATTTGAGGTCACCCACGCAAGCTGTAGATAAATGGAATATTTAAGGCCGTGAATATCAGAAGCTACACAATACAGACCAAGGTTTGCTCTAGATGCCCTGGTAAACCTAACGCTGAAAGGAAGAACACGTTCCCGAATACACTAGACAGTATTATATAAGTTTTTATGAGAACCCATCTTACTTTTGACTTCTCATAGTCCATATCACGTGGCGTTGGTAGTCATGGCTATCCACAACGTTCTGCCTCGTGTACTTACAGTAAAATCTGATACACATGATCCTAAATACCACGATGTCAAACTGTCAAGCATTATTTTTCTCAATCTCCCTCTGCCTCTCCGCCCCTCCCCTGGCACTTTCCTACTGTCAGGACGTACTACAATTGTCTCCTTCTCATCACATGACGAAAGATGATAAATCATCTCTTTCAGATGTGGGCAATTAGTTCTCTTCGTGAGTCAGTTTCTTTCAAAACATATATATTACTTTTTTTGTGTGTCTGTCCGAGATATTCTAATCATTTTTCTATAAAACATTCCCGCAGCTTCCAAATAAGATTTCACTGTTTATCCAACTGTCGGTGAGTGGTTCACTTCCGTATATCAAGAAACGATCTGTATAGTTCTTAAGAAGTTTCTTTCTCGTCTTAATTGACAAAAAGTAAGTAAGTAAAGGACTCTTTTCCACACCTTTAGGCGTATAGGGCATATAGGGCTAGACGTATATTTTTTAATAGACCAATCAGCACAATATTGGTGATGTGGTCAGCATCACGCCGGCCGCCTCTACTTCCCGGGACTGCACCCGGTACCCACTCAAGGCTGGGTCGACCTGAGAGCCAAGGTCATTTTTGAAAAAAGCCCCGCTCCTCCAGGGAGCGAACCCACGACCTTCCGATCCGCGGCGAGCGTCTAGCCGCTCCGCCACAGGGACTCTCTGACAATAAGACACTGCATACAATATTCTTTATATCGTAAAATGCTGCCTTTGCTTGAGCTATTCTGCATTTAACAATACATCCTCCATCTGATGTTATTTGGGTACCCAAGTCATCATCATTATCAGGTGCCTTGCCGGGCGATCATGCCTCTCCATAATCTGCTATCTCCCGCAGCATGTATCAGTTCGTGTGCTGACACACCTCCATGCCATGCAACAAGACTGTCAAGCATCTTCTCTCGTTGTCTTCCTCTATCTCTCCTTCCACATATCTTTCCAGTGGTCACAACATGTTCTATTTTCCCTCTTCTCATAACATGGCCGAAACATGATGACTGTCTCCTTATGATGTCTGTGACAAGTTGTCTTCGGGCTCCCGCCTCTTTCAAAACCTCTTGGTTGCTCTTTTTGGCTGCCCAAGGTATTCTTAGCATTCTTCTGTAAAACCACATCTCCGAGGCCTCCAGAAATTGTTTGGCCTGACTACCGATTGTCCAGGATTCACAGCCATATGTTAAAACTGGATGTATGTAGCAAGCAAGAATTCTTTTTCTAACTCTCAATGACAAGCATATATTGCACAAGATGTTTTTCATTTTATAAAATGCAGTTTTTGCCTGTCCTATTCTGTTTCTTATCTCAGTTATGCATCTTCCATCTGATGTTATCCATGTACCCAGATACTTAAATTTCTGTACTTGTCTTAAAATAACACCATTGACTTTTATTACACATTTAGGAATAATTCGTTTCTTTGATACCACCATTACTTCTGTCTTCCCATTATTCAAACTGAGGCACATTCTTCCACTTTCAAACACCACAATATCTATCATTTCCTGTAATTCTTTCTGACTTGTTGTGTCATCAGCATAACGTAAACTGTTTATATTGTGCCCACCAACCACAATTCCGGGTATACTAATTAAAGCTCTCATTATATATTCACTGTATATTGAAAAAAATCAGGTGACAGTACACATCCTTGTCGTACGCCCCTCTTTATGCTTTGAAATATACCTAAACAGTTGTTAATTTGTATAGCTGCTGTATGCTGCCAATACATATTCTTTATTATTCGTAGATCTTTCCCATCAATGTTTAATTTTTCTAACAGTTTGATTACTTCTTCATGCTTCACACAGTCAAATGCTTTTGTATAGTTTATAATGCATATGTACAAATCAGTCTTTTACTTCTGTAGCTCTTTCTGACAATGTCCTTAGGATGTATATGGCATTGTTTGCACCTTTTCCTTCTACAAATCCACATTGTTAATCGCTGATTTCTGGTTTAATTTTGTTTCTTATTCTTCTCATAATTATTCTCAGTAAAATCTTAGTCATGTGACTCATAAGACTTATTGTGCGATGGTCTTCACATTTTATAGTGCCTGGTTTCTTAGGCAGAGCTATAAATATGCATTTTAAAAGGTCATTTGGAATATACCCACTATTATAAATATCATTTAAAAGTTTAGTTATTATTTCAATTCCAAAATCTCCCACTGTTTCGATTTCTTCCAGTGAAATGTTGTCTGGCCCGGGTGCTTTTCCTTTCTTCATATGATGTATTGCATCCTCAACTTCTGCAGTCATTATTGGTGGACCATCATTGTTGGTCTGCAGTTCTACACCTGGTCTATTATCATCATACAATTCCCCTATATATTCTGTCCATCTGTTAATTATATTACTATGTTCCATTATTAAGTCACCATCTTTCGATTTCAAACATCCAGTGCTGTTACGTGTCATCTTTCCTGTTATACATATTTCTTGTTGGTACATGGAATGGAGTCTTTCCTGTGATTTTCTCCACTCTCTGTACTCATTTGATTCAGCCAGGCTTCTTTCGCGCCACTTTGCATTTGTTCACTATTTCTTTTGTATTAGAGTTCTCTTTATCCATTCCGTTTCTTCCCTTTTTTCATCACCAACTGCAGAATTCGGTTGACATCCATTTCTTTTGAAATTCTATGGGTTTGGGGGGATTGTCTTTTAGAGGTTCTGAAATTTTACCACGCAACCCTATCCCACTGTTCACAATATTGTATACATTCCATTGTAATTTTAAAAGGGTTTGTACGGACATTGTTCTGGGCCTTAATTTTTTTATCCCTTTAAAAAATTCCTAAAATTTTAATTGATGTTCTGTGGTGTTTTTTTGATGTTTTTAGTGTTATTCAATTTTCCAAACTGGAACAGGTCACTAAAGCAGTCTGCACCCGGTCTAGTTTTTTCTCCAATAAGCTGCCCCCGAATCTTCTTGAAAACAAAATAAAACAATCTGATTTCGGGGAAAATTACCAGAAATTTTGGGGTCCCCAAAACTTTGAGGATGGTGTTTAAAAGGTGTTACCTATTTCATTTCTTTCGTGACTCAGCCCATGTATTGATTGTCACCTTCAATTCTTTTTTTCCAGGGGAAAGCCCCCCATTTCCCACACTTTTTTATTTCCCATTTTCGCGTTAAAACTCC